AGCCTGGCAACATGATAGTGGCTTTCAGCAACCTGGCTGAGAGGATCAAGGTAAGAAGTGAAGCAAGTTGATCAAACAAAGAAAAAAGTTATATATGTGTATATATAGATAGATAGGCATCTTTTTCCCTCGATTGATCACAGCATCTCTGCTGTGAAGCTGGAATCCTGGGAACGGCTGCTTTGTCCCAAGTGCCCATTGGCAACGCAGAAGGCTCCCTCTCGACACACGTGTTGATGTTTTAGCATGCAGCTCCCGCAGTACCTGCAGATGCCTGGCCATGTTTTGATGTTTCTTGGTCCCAGTGAGAGATTTTTCAGTCCCGGTGCTCTCTTGCTCCCAGCTGTGAGCAAAAGGGACTGGTGGATGTGGGGCTCTGCCCAGCACAGCTCTAGGTGCTTCGGAAAGGCCTGGAGCAGCTCTGGGCAAGCCGGCGCTCAGCAGCTCTGTCCTCTCAGTCCCTCGCAGACCGGCAGCAGCAGGAAGAGGAGACGTACGCAGACGCGTGCGACGAGTTCCTGGACCCCATCATGAGCACGCTGATGTCGGACCCTGTGGTGCTGCCCTCGTCCCGGGTCACTGTGGACAGGTCGACCATAGCCAGGCACCTGCTCAGGTAGGCAGGGCAGCCCCCTCGGCTCGCGCTCCGCTTCAGCCTCCTTCCCCTGCCCTTCCCGGACCCGGCAGCAGGGCAGAGCGTGCGGCAGCGCGGGACGGCTCGGCTCAGGAGCGGCCTCCCGCATTCCCACGTCGTTCACTTCAGTGTCCTGGACTCCAGAGTAACTGCCGCTCTTGGCCAGAATAACTGCATGTTTTCCTCTATTAATACCTCCCCAACAATTCCTCATTTATCCTTATTTTACTGCGCTGTTAGAAGGAGGTGAGTTGACGGGAGATACCTCCACGTCACACCACTTTGTGTTGCACTTACTTATCCAATGACATTAACATCTGTCGGTGTCTTAGCGGAGCAAATCCACTTCACTTAACAGCAGGCAGGTCACGCTGATCCTTCCTGCTTCCCTTTCCTGTTTCTTCTGGGACGGGAGGTCTGTCCGAAAAGTAATCTCCTTATTGCTTTTTCAGTGACCAGACAGATCCTTTTAATCGGAGCCCCCTCACTATGGACCAGATTAGACCGAACACAGAGCTTAAAGAAAGGATCCAGCAGTGGCTTGCAGAGAGGAAGAAGCAGAAGGAGGAGCTGGACGACACGCTGAACTGATGAAGAGAAATCTCCACCTCGAGACATACAATCATCCACAAGAGAAATGCCTTGCAGGGGTGGTGGCTGGCGCCCCGAGCATCCGTGAAGCTGCCACTTCCATCCAGAATGCATTTGTTAGTGCAGTGCCAGCACACCTGAAATCTCTCCTGGGACCTTCCCTTCTCTCCCTTCTTTTGACTTTCCTTTCAAGACTTACTGTTTAATATTAGAAAATTCCACTGCACTACAGCTTATGCTTCTTGTGCTTGTCCCTGTATTCTGATGGTGTTGGCTGTTTCTCAGGACTGCCACGTTCTATGCTCCGTGATACCAAAAACCTTCCTCCCACTCAGTTGCTGCTCTTTGCTGCCCCATTGCTTAACCGTGCAGTCCTCTGTCCACCGTGAAAACAAGGCCTTTGACGCGCAGCAGCGGTTGGGTGCAGGCAGGGGTGAGGGCGCAGGGGCTCCGCGTGTCCCTGGGTGCTCCGGGAGCAGCCCGTGGCTCTCGGCTCCGCGGCGGGACCCG